TCAAGCGGTATTCTCCTCAGCTGCGATACATATTTTGTTACTACATATCAAGAGGGCAAAATGCTTGTGCTTAACGATCTTTGTTTCTCAAACATGAAGGGAAAACATGAAACAACTTTCATTCAGTAGAAGGAAAGCAGTGACTTGCCCACAAACTAAACCCAAATTTTAGCTGACCTCTGTAAAATTGTAAGTTTAAAAAACAATTGTAAGTTTATTCCCATAGGTATATCTACACAAAATATGTGTAAGTTGGGCAATTTGTTCTGTTTTTAAAGACATCTTTATTCATTGCATAATGGGAACTTTGGATCCATGTTTCCCTAATACTATTTCATAAAAGAAAAACAATGTTTTTTTAATATACCTGAAATTTTCATCAACTAAACAACATGTCTATGAAGATATAAACAATTTTTCTGTACATAATGAAGCTTAACACCCATGCCAAATAGAAACAGGAGTATCGTTTGGTGTGTTGAATTCCCACATGGTTTAAATCAAAAAGTTTGTACTGCATTTGTGAAAAAGGTCATGTAGAGAATTGATAAATGAAATATCAACCACACAACCTCATAAACAAGCAATAAAACAGCCAAACACATTTTAGTTAAATAAAACAAAGATCTATTTACTCAAGAGGAAACAGTAAACTTTCGTATTTCAGAATGAGCACGGATACAGAAATTTTTAAAAAACTAACGCTCATAATTTGTATCAAAGCACAAATCATTTTCCTTACAAAGAGAAGTTCTAAATATAAATCACATAAAAATGATAAGCGGGACTTAACCTTTACTTACAACGTCAATAATCACCCATTATCATTGTTACATAGTAAGGATTTAAGGCACAAAAGCAGCAGCGAAGCAAAAACCGGGATGAGTTTTCTCCAAACTTCTGAACAGACTACGGTCATTCCGTCTTCCCACTTGCCATGACATGTGCGACAATAACTCAGTCACTCAGTGAGACTGTGTGGTTTAAGCTGATTGACTACAGAGAATTCATTCGGTCCCATTCGTAGATTGAAGCGAAGTCTGTTGTTGGCTTAAGTCAACGGAGCTCCATTACCCACCTCCTGATTTGACGTATGCTTTACAGTTATCCAGACATCTGAAAATCCTTTCTTGATGCCCCATATTTTGCAGGATGTCATACCTCTTCCAAAACAAGGTTTCCTTCTTCACCACCGTGGGGCACACACTCTCATGCTCTCTCCAAGTCCCTCAGAGTTGGTGGTAGGAAATACGCAAACTTTACGTGGGGAGGACAAAAATCAGACCCACTTCCACACTGGGACAATTTCTGGAAAGCAAGAATCTTAGAGTATTTACAAGACCGATATTTAATAATAAAGAACTGCAGGTGCTTGTCACCTTAGAAAAACAGAATAACCTTTAAAAAAAAAAAAAGGAAAGAGAAAACAAGAAAGTGTTGCCACTCGAGGACACGACAGTCACTCAAGGACCCTGCAAAGCTTCTGCACTGAGCTAGAACATCATAGATCAAGTTGTGGAATAATAAGTCAGTCCAGTATTCTATTTGTAGCGAACCTGGCTACTTGGTTCCAAAGAGAGTTCTCTACGCATTCCTGTAAATCACACTCGTGTAGTCACTCACAGGGATAAACCTTCCGACAGAGCCTCTGTTGGTGTGGAATATTCCGCAGCTAAAGCATAGGGTAGTTAAGGCTGGTAACTAAGAACTAAGGGTTTGTACTCTGTCGTTAGGTCAGGAAAACAAAATGATCTATCATCTGTCTGTCTGTCTGTCTATCTGCAATCACCCCTTCATAGAATAAATTTTTCATTAAAATTCTGGAAGCTTTCTAACTTGGAAAACTTTAAAGCTCTTAAAGCCTGCAGGAAACAAGTTTAAAGCACCATGATACAGATCATTTCTTAGCGTTTCCTCTCCGTGTGTTTTTACACATTGCTTCTCTCAGAAGAGCCTTGTTCTATTAGTAACGCTGTGCCTGAGGGGGCCCGTCCACTGGTTTAAAGTGTGCGAGTGCATCTGTACAGTATTTGATATGCAGATGTGAATATCTATACATTCTCTTTCTGTTCAGATTGGCAACAGTTCACATGGGATGCTTTCCCTTTAGTAATTGAATCTGCTTTTAAAAATTTTGAGTTACCACTGACTGAGCAACAAGGAAAGGACTGAGCGAATTTTTTTAGGAGGGTCCAGTAAAAACGTAAAGAAGGCTTCCTGATGTTCTGTGGCCACAGACGTTTCCTAGGGGAATGAACTTTATCCCTTATTGTAGAAGATAGGTCATTGAGTGACATTCTCCAGGATGCCAGATTATGAGCTATATGCTGGAGAAGTTAGCAAGATTACGTTCACATTAGTGTGGCTTGACAACCGTGAGCCCACAGAGCTAGCTAACGGACTCCGGGCCATGGGCATGTGGAAGGTTCTGACTTTATGGGCCACGGTGGAGCCAACGCTCTCAGAATAAAACAAGAGGATGAGATTATCCTGCTTTTCCCATGAGTTGGCATTCGAACATCCCCCAAAACACATTAAGGGGAAAAGCAATTGTCTTAATAAATGGAAAGGCATTCTGTGGCTACAGAGAAAAACAATGAGTAAAAAGTTGTCGTATGGCCATAATATCCTGTTGTGTAACTAGACAGCTAAAAATCTGTATTTTGCTCTGCAAATCTCTAATCTTCCAATTCAACTAAGAAACGGGTTGTTTACAAATGTCTTAACCCACAGTTAAGCTTGAGAAACGAGTTCCATAAAACTAGAATTAGGTAGGGGGTCTGTACCCACAGCCTCGCGAAGGACTGACCCGGTAAAGCCTTCCTTTTGGCTAAGTCACTAGAGTTAGAGGATTTTGTTACAGCGTCCTCGCTCCTGGAAACACTCCGTGCCACCGGACCAGTATCTCTTCTGCTCGCTCACATAAGCGCTCTCCAGATGTGTCCGTCAATCCGGCTCAACTCATGCAACTTGCCTGCCACGGAGACCACGATGCCCACAGAGACCACGTCCACATGTGGGAGGAGAATCAGCTTTCCTTCCTCGTGCTGACGTCATCTTCAAAATGGTGTTCACGCTCCCCATTCTCTGTGAATGATGCTTTCCTTGGTTAGATGACAGATTTCATTCTTTTTTTTTTTTTAAGTGGTATATGTTTACAAGGTGTTTTCAGGGGATGAGTTGTTGTCCATCTCAAGATAGGTCACAATTACATCTTGTTAACAAGTGGTAAAAATGCATATCCAAGACAAGAATTACTTCCTGACTTTTCCAATTTTTGCTACAGTTACTATGGTCCATGGTCTTCTTAAAGCATTTGTATATTTTGTTTTTCATGTAAAACAACATTGGGCTTTATTGAGATGACTTGTAAAAAGGTCCTGAAAACCTAAGTTTATGGTATAATGAGGAATGGAAGAAAAAAATGCAATGTAGCTCTTTTAAAGAAGGAAAAAAGAGAAACTCATTAAAGGAAGGAAAGTGAAAGAATCACCTTGAAAATTAGTTATAACTTCTTGCATTTAATCCCTGATTTCTATAAACTATTTAACATCATTAACCCCAGGCCCAGTAATGGCATGGGAATTTAACACCAAAAAAACCGGCTAGTCTATTTCCCTAGCCTCAAGAGTGTTGCTTGCAGTCTATAGGGTTTCAGATTGTCCCCTTTGAAAAAAGAAGTCTCCCTGTAATAAAGCACCATCTATATTTTATACCAGAAATATAGAACCTCCCACTTACAACTCGTCCTGCCAGATCAACATACCCTTATAACACCATCTCTTTTCCAATACTGTTACATTATTGTCTCCATTTATGCTTCTTATTTGTAGAAAATATTAAAATAGCTGCTAGGAAAAAAAAATTCATTTTCTGTAGTATTATTAAGTACTTGATATAAATACCCTTACTCTAAATGGCTGGTTATGAAACCTGGAGGGGAAGAAAATCTTTTAACCTTATGATTAATAACGAATTCTACAAAAGCACTAGAAGTTTCCTTCCAAATTTATAACATCTACATCATTAATAAAAATATTCTTTAATATGTGAAAAATATATTATTTCTATATTTAAGGAAGATCTGCATCATCTCTTAAAAATTCAGAAAACTAATACAATTATGTCTTTCCCCATATATACCTAACAAGGCCATTATGAGTTCATATAATTAGCCCACAAAATTGTAATAAGAAACTGGTTTCATCATGACAATTTAAACATTTTTCAACAATTTCTATCAGAAGACTTCTAATTATATAGGAAGGAATCTGCTTGGAAGTCTAACTATAACCGGCCATTAAAATAAACCTTTGCTGATATCCCTAGGGGCAAAAATATAACAAGGCTAATCCTAATAGAAATAAGGCTTTTAAAAAGCAAGTCAAATGCATTCTTGGTTTTTTGTTCTTTTGTTAAAAAACTGGAGAGAATTCAACCTTTAGACTAGCCAATATTGAGTTTTCAAACGTAGTAACATGATGGAGAAGAGATGGGTATTCTTGATAAGGGTAGACTAGACCCATGAAAACCCTAGGGTATCAGAACTTGCAAACCATCTCACCGAGCTCACTCACTAAAGCCCTTCCTGAGTGTGTCATTAAAGCCATAAGGATTAAAACCCGAAGCACTTGAGGGAGAGGCGTGCCGAAATGAATCACTAACACACTGCATGGACACTTCCTCCTTCCAAAATGTGTTCATTTTAATTCTTGGGAGACGGATTTGGGATAAGGAGGAAGAAAGGAAGGAATGTCAACAAGTCACAAATCTACTGCCGTCTCTGAAACTAAATTACAATTTGTTTATTCAAGAGTTTATTGCTTTAAAAAAAAAAAGTACATGCCTTCCTATTATCGTCTCTACAATTCTATGCCTTCCTAGATAAGTGCTTTAGAACAAGCTCCCATCTACTAACCTCACTTCTAAATGTATAGAAAAGTATAGATGGGTGTGGTCCTTTTTTTTCATCACTTACAAAGACAAGTGGCCAATTGCCCTCCGTGCAACATGCCCCTCTATCCCTCTTATTTTTTCTAAATGACTTTTACAGACACATCCCATGAAAAGAAGCCACTCTCCTTTAGTAGCTACTCAAAATCATCTAGCCTTTCCATTAAACCTCTAATCTTAGAATTTCGTATGCAGCATTCAACCATATTGTCACATTATGTTCAGCAGTAACTATATCCTTATTGTTCACGTGTTATAACCCTTCATTTTCCCGATCATCAATACACTCTCTTCTTAAAAATCATCTATGCTACGGCAGCATAGTCCTTGTTTTGTTCATTCTCATTTTCTTGCGGGCTCGTGATTTTTACTTCTGGTCTTGGTGGTCTTTGAGGGTCTAAGTCAGCCTGGAAGAAAAGTGATCAAAACAAAGATATTTAGTTCTTTCGTCCCAAAGGTCATAAAATTCACAAGGAAAAAAAAAATGACTCCATATTTAGGTAATCATATAAACAGTCAACTAAAAATAGTTCCTGGGGTCCTCTTTGTGTTTTAGTTGATCATGCCAGTGGACGTGCCATCCTCAATACCTTACTTGCACAAAAGCCCTACCTGGGACCATAAGAGCATAGCAGGGGAGCGGCACGGAGAGGGAGAAGCAGAATCCTCACTGATTAGGGAGCCCGACGTGGGGCTCCATCCCAGGACCCCGAGATCATGACCTGAGCCAAAGGCAGCGGCTTAACCCATTGAGCCACCCAGGTGCCCAAGTTTTTATTTTCAATAGCATATTTATACTTTTCATTTCAGCATTTTCAGAGAAGAAAGCACAGCAATTCTACCTCCATGTCACATTAACCCAGCCCCATACCAGCTGTTCTTGTGTGAATCAGAGCTCACAAATTCTTTGTGACTATGATACCAAGTGCCACCATGTACAGAGATAAGGGCAGGAAGCAAACCAAGTACCGAGGGAGGATTTCTCCAATGTTATGGGCAACCCTGTACTTGGACTTCTTTCATGTTGTTAAGGATCTTGTCTCACATCCAATGTGCCCACCTCCCACTAGACTGAAATCCAAGCGGATGAGATCAGAATTCCCTGGTTTACAAGCTCTGCTCCGTGGAACCCTGGAGGCTCCACCGCCCTCATAAGGGCCACCCAAGTGGGGACAGGAGGACTAGCTCCAAGGCCCTTTCCCCTACAGCCATAACTGATGGCCTAAAAAAGAAAAAGAAAAAATATCGGGACTCCTTTTTCACACTGTTATCTCAGGAAGTGTCTCCAACACCACGTGACCTCCATGTCCGTGGCTTGTGCTGCGTTTCTCCCACTTCCCTGCTGTCTGTCTGTCTGTCTGTCATCCCAGCACCCCGTACCTAAGAATGGCTACACCGGACAAAATGGTAACTGCTAAACTGAACCTGGGGCCGTTCTAGAAACAAACTGTCTTTTTGAAATAGTTAATTTTTAAAGTATAATTTGTAATTCCTATGGATCTTGTTTTTCGCATGTTCGATACGCTTCAAATGTACCTGAAGGAGCCCGTGAGGGAGAATGGAAACAGCCTTCACTGCCCTTAGGGGAGAGAGGAATGGAGCAAGATTCAGTCTCCCGGCAGGCGACCGCCCTGCTCTGGCATATGCAGAGTTAACAGCCCTGACTTGTCACACAGCAGGGACCCGAGTTCAGATTCCCCAACAGGACACCCCGGGAAGACCTGGACTTCACATTACAGGACCTTGATCTTGACCGAGGCCCGATTCTTACAAGATGTCTGTTTTTAAAAGCTGAATTTACAGAATGGACAGACAGGTCCCCCACTGGTTTTGGTACAGCTGTTTGAGGTGATAGCACTGAATTAAAACCCAGAGCACTGGGAGAGCGCACTCTTGGACCTCAGGACCGAGGTCCCACAGAGGGTTTGCACTTGGGTTTCTTGCTGGAGATTTTCATCAAAGGCAACAATAACAGAGTTTCATGAAGCCGACTGCCGTAGTTACCATATGAGTGACAGTGAGGACACTGTCCTCCACGTACTGTGCTTTGCAGGTGATACCCCCAGATGAGCCATTTTGCTTCCCTTGAGAAAGCGTGTGTGTGTGTGTGTGTGTGTGTGTGTGTGTGTGTGTGTGTGTGTTTCTTGAGAAGTTCATTTTATGTCCTTATTGAGGGAAAGAGAATCATGTTATAGACTGATTTCCTTTTCTAATTTTAGCTACAAACAACTTCAGGATACAAATTTTCGCTCATTTTCAGTAACTCTGCAGAACGGCATATGGGGAATTTCTAACTGACTACAACTGTGATTCCCTCACCTTAAGGAAAGATGAGACAGGAGACACATTGAGTGTTTTCATTTAGATGCTGAGAATGTTTTCGTATAAACCAGACAACAGATTACAGACGACTCTGTGCAGGTTATTGAAACCCGGCCACAAGAAGGTTTTGCTATTTTGCCATCACTAAACTTGGTCTCCCCCACCCAAGCAAAATAAAACAGATGAGTCCATAGTAAATCAAGAAAACCACAGTCATGACACCAGGTGTCAGGAATAAAGACATCCAGGCCCACATGAGAAGTTACAGCCCGAGGGACCTGGGCCCTGAACAGAGGGAGAGACAGGAAGGTTCATTCTCCCGGATGGGAAGAAGGCTTCGGAGTGCACCCTGCCTCTTACGCTATGACATTGAACTTGACTCTATTCATCAGTCTCTAATTTAATCATCCAGCCTCTGGAAGGATGCCTGCTGCAGGGACCCTAGCGGGAACACGGGCTAGGAAGGAGGCATTGCCGTGTCATTCCTTACCCTCTCGGTCTAATAAGTAGCACCACGTATTAATAAATGCCTGGTGCATTGACTGCTTAATTCAATTAATCCGTTTAATGGGGACTAACCAAGTGAGACGTAACAGAGTACAAAGAAGTCACCCATGACAGAAGGGATGTTCTTTCTTTCATGTCTAGATCTCATGGCCTTGATGTTCATTTCTTGTCTGTGCCTCCCCGGATCTTAACTTACTTGTATTGGTTCATATTTGTTATATACACTCTCGGGAGCCTCTGCGAACTCTGTAGAATGAGAGAAGGGATGGGAGGGTGGATGGATGAGTGACGTGTGATGGGTGGGTGGAGGTGTGGAATGGGTAGGTGAGTGGGTGGATGTATGGATGAGTGGGTCCCTGAGTGGGTGGGTGGGTGAGGGGATGGGTGGGGATAGACGGACAGGTACGTGAGTGGGTAGATGAGTGGGTGCAGGGGTCGATGGTGGACGGGGGTTGAGTGGCTGCGTGGGTGAATGAGTGGGTGAGGGGATGGGTGGGTAGGTGGATAGGAAGTTGGGTGGGTGACTGGGTAGATGGGTGAATGAGTGGGTGTATATGTGGATGGGGGATGAGTGGGTGGGTGGATGGACAGAGGGATGAGTGGGTGGGTGGGGATGGGTGGACAGGTGGATGGGTGGGTGGCTGGTTGGATGGATGGATGGGTGGGTGGGTGATGAGTGGGTGGATGGATGGACAGACAGATGAGTGGGTGGGTGGGGAGATGGGTGGACGACAGGACAGATGCGTGGACTCTCTGATAGGTGGATGGCAGTTCTTGTTAACTGACCGAAATAATACAATCAAGTAAGCAGTGTGGAGTCCTTCCCTGCTCAGCAATAAGTGATTTCAGTGCAAGTCCTAAGTGCTTGGGCAACTCCCGAAGTGCACGGGCGCGTGCACCGCACACACATTCATGCACGAACACATGTGAGCACGAGCAGCAGAAGTACCTCGCCTTGTGCACTGCCAGCTCCTTGCGACTTGACTTCCTCCTCCACTGTCTCCTGAGGCTCGGGATTAATCTGATCCAGCTCCTCGCCATTCTCTTCATTGGTGCCTCCGTTAACACGGGCGGGGGCCACCGGCTCCTCCCTGGGACCCGGGACGCCCTCGACCTGCTCGGGGGCACCTGGCGCCGCCTCCTCTCCTCCTTCAATGGCACCATTCATTCCCGAAAAGTCTTCTTTCTGCTCTGCATCCTTGTTCGCTTTTCCTCCATCTTCCTCCTCATCCACGATTTCCGCTGGCCTCTGGCAGGTCAGAATGAATAAGGGAGGAAAGTCAGCAGGACGACAGAGGTTCTCCACCGCCCATTAGGACGACGTGACGATGATCACGCCACAGTCACATAAACGTCCTCACACGCACACAGCGCTCGGCAGCAGACAAGGCACAACCTTCCCTGAGAACCCACGGTGTGCCGCTCTTTGCGAGGGATCTCCCGCACTGGCCCTCCCAACATCCCTGTGCAGTGGGTGTTAGTCCCCTTCTACGGGGGAGAAAACCGAGGTGCAAAGAGACCAAACAGCTCGCCCAAGATCCTGCTGTGTGGGAGTCAAAGAGCCAGGACTGGAATGAGGCGTGTGACTCCAGGAACAGTGCTCCTAAGCCCTGCAGCAGAGACAAAGCCAGACTGTAGGGCCTTTGGCCCATACCTAGTACAGTGTCCGGCCCAGAGGAGGAGCTTAAAGAAAAAAGTCTCTGAGGAGAAGTCAACCTCCCCACGGCGATGTCTGGTGTGTATTTAGATCACAAGATACAGAGAGAGTGCAACGGTGCTGGTGCCAGGACGTGAGGCCAGGCTTTCCAGCACCGCATGTGGCCCGCTGCCCACACGATGCCTGGGGGCTCCCGGCGTATCTCAAAACACAAACACAGTCACTCAGCTCCAAGGCCAAGCCACTCTACGTCCTTTCTATAAAAATGGTAAGTGCTTAAGAGCCTATGAGCCCAAATTAGACAATTTCCAAGTTATTCGGATACATGTACGTCTGCTTTAAAAGACAGCAGGAGGCTGACTTCCAGAGCCAAGACTTGGGAGAAAGGCCTGGGCTTAGGGCTTGGGCGGGTACTTACTGGCTGTCACCTCACTTCCGTGAGGGCCAGAGTCCCCAAGTGTCACATGAGAATGTCATAAAACATGCAGGGGGAGTGAAGGAGAGAAGTTACACGCAGTGCCTCCCACCCTACTTGGCATATCACATCTTAAAACACCAGAGTCGCCTCCAATTTGTAGGACATGGTCTGTCCAGGAGTCAGATTTTTCACTGCCTATGATAAAATAACAGCTTGTCTTCTAAAGAAGAGAACAGAAAGAACACAAGATTTGTTCTAAGTTAGGACCTAGACCTGCCTCCTTCTGGTTGACACCGGACAGGTCACGGCCATGGTCCCCCAGCACCTATAAAATGAGGGTCTGAGATTAAATTCACCCTAACCACCCCCCGTTCCAGCTCTGGAAGTCCGTTCTCCCCAAACCACTCTAATGTTTGTTAGGAGGTCTTAATGGTCTTCTCATAAAAGTTAACATAATACGCTCCATTTTGGAAGAAAAAACAAAACAAAACAAAACCAGAGTGAACTAAAAGTTCAGGACAAAACTCCACACAACATTACTTTGAAGAGGAAAAGAGATGAACCGTGAAATCTTGCATTCTGTCCAACATAGTGCCTCAGTTTTGACAGCATGATATCAATGATGCACTTGAAAAAAAACTAATTGTTCTTAAGATATTCCAATGACCATGGCGTTGGCCATCACACAGCTTAAATTATGGTATACGGTAAGGCTGGGTCTCCCACATTTTCCGTTCGGATGTTCAGTGTCGGAGGGTGTGGGGCCCCCACGATCCCTAAGCTTGCTGCCCTGGGTGAGGCCCTTGGGAAGGCCAAATGCGGGACAGAAATGGGCACGTGGGTGGTGAACCTGCCAGATGGTATGAAGAGAGAAGACAGAGACTTAGGAAATGGAACCTATGCTGGGTAAGGGTTTCCTGCTTTGATGTGTGAGACCGAGATGAAAGGAGGTGAGAAAAACCTCCAGTTTCCAAGAGGCAAAGCAGTATGCGCCCATGCCCACACCCCGCCCCACTCTTTCTACAGAGAACACTCACGGAAAAGCCCTGAGACAGACTTACTTCCAGTGACGAGTCAAGAGTGTGCTGAGGGAGAGGACAGGCGCGGTCGTCCAGAGGGCAGGGGAGAGGAAATGTCTGGGCCAGGGTGGGTGTGTATGCACCCTAAGGAGCAAGGGCTTGGAGGGGGCTTGCTCAACAGGACACTAGGACAGAGAGGGGACTGCAGGTGGGAAAGAGCTAGAATAAGGAGCCGACTCAGAATCACTGTGGGCAGATTGCCACGCACATGTCATGAGAGCCCAAGGAAAGGCCAAAGGGCCTCGGGTCCAGAGCCCCCAAGCTCCTTCCTTAGGGACTCTGAAGGACGTGAGGGGCACTCCCTTTGCCCCTCTGGAAGAGGTCATCTTCCATCATGAGTCACCGTGACTCATGAGTGGGCCTGGGGTATCCATCGGTGCTGAGCAGCACTGCGGGTGCTAGACATTCGGAGACAAATCCGACAGGAATCGGGGAGCTCAGAGCCGGGCGGGCACTGGGCACACCGTATACAGCCTGGCGCAGGGGTCCGGAAAGTGACCGCGGGTGGTGGGCATGGCAGCCTGCCACCTGGGCTCAGTCACGGCGCCCACTGGAGCCCATGGGAATACCGTGTGCAGGTGGAGTGGGTCCCCAGAGGCCCCGGCTCCCATCCGCGATGAGAGTCGCGCCCTGTGCTTGCACACTCGTCACTTCGTGAGGCCGTCCTGACACCCGTGCCAGGTCCACCTCTTAGGTCCCCACACATGTCAGGAAAAGGAGGAGCCACGCAATCCTGACAGCATCACATGGCAACGACCAGGCAGGGCGGGGACTGGAACCCAGGGCCACAGCTGGCCCCTGGGGCCCAGTGTTTGTCCTTAAAGACATACCACGAGGAGTTTCTCCTTCACGCTGTCACTGCGGCGAGCACCCCCGAGGGTCCTTTCAGCGGCCCGAGCTATGGCTCCGAAAGATGCAGCCCCGCTTCAACATGAAACAATTACCGAACATCTCCAGATTTCTCTGAAAGACTTTCGACGGGATCCAGGGAGGACGTGTCATGAGGAGGGCTGGGCAGAGTCCCCGAAGCATTACACAACAAAACTCCAGAAATACCACAGCACCAGGGCCAATGAGAGCAGAGTTCTTTTTAGATTATTTCTGAGAATTGGATAATGGTTAGTGTATCTAAACTCGCCCCATTCGGAGCAACATTTTGTTTTGGTTTTAAAGGGAAGTTATACAGAATTCTATAATAAAAACATGGAAGGATAATGACACAGAACACCCCAAGTTCACTGCCATCATTTAGGAGCATAGATCTGTCTGTCCCTTGTCTCTCTGAGAATCTGTTACAAGAACACGCTAACGTCTATTAAGGTGACTACTTCTGTGTCAAGTGAAGTCTCTTTTCCTTTCCTGAAATCTGGATTTATTCTGAAATGTGGGAAAATAGTGTGAGTTGGTTTTTAGTTTTGCATTTCTCATCTCACTCTTTTTCCTCACTCCCAATTCCCAAACACATATACTTTTTTTTTTCTTCTTTTCATGCAATCAGCGGGGACAGACCCTAACCTCTGTCTAAGGAAGGAGACACCCAGCCCTGAATTCAGGCTCTGCTGTCCCTACCATTAGGAGCGCTGCTGTAAACACACAGGATCACCCTCCCATCCCATTCATTCTGTTACACTTTCCCAACACGGCTCTCTCACTGTCATCTCACAAAGCCACATCTGGTTAGCTCAGCTTTACGAAATGAAAGAATAAGGTGCTACACTAAGAGTTGGATCCATTTAAATAAGACGGTAATGGGAGTTAAAAGGCTTATAATGCTTTAAAATATCCACAGTGTAGAACACAATTTATTATTACTACAACACTACAACTCAGGCCAAAAAAAAAAAAAAATTCTGCTATGACAGATCTGTAATGAATAAATGAAAAGCAATGTGCTTTTTGGTGTAATCTCCTTTGAAGCAGACATTAAATTATTAAAGATGTTTCCAGTGCATACATCAATCACATCATCCCCAGAAGGAACACTGGGTTTCACACCCATACACACACACACACACACACACACACACACACACACAGATAAAATCTATACCATGGTGAGGACCTTCAGAGAAGCAAAAGAACGCCCCTTCCACAAGACGGTGGGGGTCCACAGTGGGAAGAAGGGAGGAGGGGAGTCAGCAAGCCGCACACCCCCTCAATCCTTGCCCTCCTTCTCTTGCTGCAGAGAAACTCCCCAGGATGATGCTGGTGTCCCTCGAGCAATGCTGACCTGACATTTGGCCCCGGCAGCAGGACGCCCACATGGAGAGTCTACTCGGGTAAATGCTTTTCTTAGAGGCCTTGGGATCTCCCCTCACAGCAAGAACAGCTCTTCCCTGGGGGGCAGGCTGTGAGTTAGCTCTACGCACAGCCAGACACAGAAGGTCACTTACTATATGATTTCATTTCCATGAAAATCCACAAAACATTCAGAATAGGTCCATCTATGAAGACAGAAAGTAGATTCATGGTGGCCAGGCCTGAGGAAAAGGGAGAATGGGGAGAGGCTGCTTACTAGGGAGGAGGTTTTGGGGTGCCTGCGTGGCTCAGTCAGTTGAGCGTCTGACTCCTGGGTTTCGGCTCAGAGCATGATCCCGGGGTCCTGGGATTGAGTCCTATGTCAGGCTCTGTGCTTAGCTGGGAACCTGCTTCTCCCCCTCTCTCTCTGCCTCTGCCCCTCCCCCTGCTTGCACACACACTGTCTCTGTCTCTCTCTCAAATAAATAAATCGTTTAAAACATAGGCATGGGGTTTCCTTTGGGAGAGATGGAAAATGCCCGGGAACTAGACAGAGGGAACAGCTGAACAACACTGTGAGTGTCTGGAAGGCCCCAGATCTCTCGATTTAAGAATTGTCGATGGTTTGTTGTATGTTAGCAGAATCTTCCATTTCTTCACTTCTCTCTCTTTTTTTTTTTTTAAGAGAGAAAAAGAGGGAGCACAAGCATGAGCAGGAAGGGAGAGGGACGGGAGAATCTTAAGCAGGTTCCGTGCACGGAGCAGAGCCCATCACAGAGCTCGACTTGAGCCGAAATTAAGAATCAGATGCCTGACTGACCGACCCAGCCACCCAAGTGCCCCTCTTGCTTCAACTT